TTTTAATTTGAATGAACTTAGCATTCAAAATTTGAGAACCTGTACAAAACCGGAATTTTCAAAACCTATAAAATTAGAAGAGTGCATGGTAAATTAGTAAAGTATTTATGGAATTAAATCTTTTATAAATTAATTTTAATATATTTTAGAGTCCTTTGCAAATTGTTGAAGACAAGTTGGAACAAATCACATTACAGCCTGAAAGTAACAAAATGGACACATCACCCGACTCAAATGCTGATGAAACTGTAGTAATTTCAGCTCAAGCAGAAAGTTTAAATAATACTTTTGTATTGAAACAAAATTTAGATTTAGCTTCTGTTAAACGTTCGGCTACTACAACTACACCTCATCGAAGTAAACCACCAATTGATACACGGTGCCTAACTAAATCAATTACCAAGCCTACTATACAAAGGAAAAGACTGGTACTCAATAATCAAAAAACTGGACTTACTAATAAGAAAGTTAACCAAGAAAATATGCCACTTATTATGGCGGCAACTAGGACATTGGCTGATCCAATTCTTACCAAAGCTGTTACTAAAGCACGAAATAATACTAATAATATTTTAACCGCAAAATCTGGTAAGTTGTATTGATGGTATAAAATATATAAAAGGATGTTGGTTAATGTTTATGTTTTGTTTTATTTGTTAATTATTATTTATTAAATTTAACAAGTCTAAATTGTGTGCAATTTATATGTAATAATTGCATGTACTTAAAGATAGTTGAATACAAATAAAATTAAATAAATCTGTTATAAATAATATGTTCTAATTATAAAATTCAATAGTTAGTGTCAAATGTAATTTTTTTTAAAAATACTGTCTGAGTGGCTTATATCAGCAACATTTACAAAGTATTTATTTAATTGTGAACAAACAATATTTGTTAATCTATAGATTGTATCGTAATTATGAAAGTCTAACCTTAACTCAAATTGGGTATTCAAGCAGTTATCAAATAAATTTATATACCATAGTGAAATACACATATTCTTGAACACAATAAACAACTGTAATGTATATTTTTTTGATTTTACAGTAAACACAAGGATAACTTCACAAGACACATGTAAGACAATTAATGTTAAAAACCAAAAACCTACATTGACTATGAGGTACCTAATTAAATAGTAGTGTTAGCACTATTATTTTCATTTACTTATTTTAGTTATAGATTATTTTATTTACTTCAAGCTTCAAGCCTTAGCATAAAAATATTTGAATTTAATGTTATTTGTAGTAGTTTGCTAATAATATATAGATGCTTACATACTATATTATATGGCTTGTCTTAAGAAATTTAAAATTTTTAGTTGAGACCCATATTTAATAACACACAGCTATTAGAGATTAATACTATTTGACAATTATTATTAGTTATTAGTTTATATAAATAGTTGCTCATTTCACTTTTCTATTAAAATTGAATATATATAAATAATAAACGTATAGACCACAAGATATACCAATTTAACATGTTTTGTATATTATAATTTATAATATTGACGTTATCAAATGGGCATATTCTTACCACTCTTTGTTAGTATCTAGTCATGCCTGCTATATCCGATTTGTAGGTCTACATTTTGTTAGATTTGTTATATTATTTTAAGAAAATGTTGTAATCTACAAGAAGAAATATTATTAATAGGTCTACCAAACTTACGCATTTAAAACTATAAGTAATACACAACTTGCCATAAAACTAATTCCCTGAAAATGTGTTATACGGATTTACCCCTAAAAACTGGAATCAACCATGAAAATAAAATTTTTTAACTTTTCCATAAAATGTTGATCATAGATTTTATCATAAAAATGAGTTGGTGGGTCATGAATCAAATGATACTTAAGTATCAGATATTTTATAAATATGTTAACTCCTGTGACTAAAATGGAATCACTTAAGATCGTTCAATTTTTTCCTGGAATTTTTATCTTGGCGGGGTCACATATGTGACATAAAAAAATATATTTATAGATAATACTAAGTATATACAAGTTTATAAATGTCTGTACATTATAATATATTTGAATTGGAGTTAAAGAAATTGTACTGAGGCTTGCGTCTTATTGATGTTTTACTGTATAGCTTTGAGTGTTAAATATGTTATAAAGACTTATTATTTCGTCTTGCAGATAACAATATTATCATAAAATAATATAATGCAGTATTAATCTGTAGTAGTCACATTAGGATAGTTGAATTTACTGAAATATTGTTTGGGTGTCCCAATAACCAATAAGAACCTCTAGGTTTTTAATGAGACAGACTGTCTTCTGTCTCCCTTTTAATGTCCACATTTTGTATCTTTTTAGATTCTTTGTCACCCTTATCCTTTTTTCCTCATATGATCACTTCATGAACTAGCAATGCAGACTTGTGCAAAACGGTCATGGCTAGTTATTTGTCTTATTTTGTGTTATAAAGAAACAAAGCTAAAGGTTACTATTCCTAATTGCATCATTTTGTTTTTCTTGATTTTTCGGTATCAGCCATTAATTTTAGTATATCAGAATAAATCTTTGACCTTAGTTTATTGATTTATTGTAATACTTGATCATTTGGTATTCTACTCTATACCAACTTATCTTTTGTATTGTCATTATAAAATTGTATGTGCATGGATAAAATTATATTAACTCGATTTAATACAGAATATTTAACTGATCAGTGATCTTTTTGTTCCATTAATTTTTTAACTCTTTTCATAATATGATTACATAGTTAACCTACTTTACACAATGCTTATATCTGTACTGCAGCCGTGCTAATATTGTTTCTTTTTCTTGTTTTCTTGTACATTTAAAATATGATGTGTATGTGTGCGTATATAAATAAACAATTTAAAAAAACTTAATGTTCAACCTTAGGAGATTTCTTTTTAAAACTTATCTTTTGGTGGTGGTAAATTTTTGACAATACATTAAATATTGTAATTATTTGTACAGTTATATGTTATACAAATACATTGATATTTTAAACTTTGCTGCTTATAAAATCTTAAAAAAAAGACCCAACAATATTGGAAATACATTAAAAATAATTAAAATATTTTATTTTTCATTTTTGAAAAAAATAGTATATAGGTTTATTTTTACTTCATCCATAACATAATTTATGTTGTTTTTTTCATTTACAAATCATATACTAAATTTTACTCAAAAATATTTTATTCTTCTATTAATTATTGAAAATTTAAAAAATTGTATTTTACTTTTATTACAGGCAACGAAATTGGCTATAATAAGTTAAAGAAGTATTAAGTGTTTAACAACACACTCCTACTTTTATAATTATAATATGCTAAGTGTTTTTTAATCATTAAAAACTTTTTATACATGCATAAAACCTTATTAGAAATATGTTTTATTTTAATTATACTTTTATTTAGTGAGAAATTTTTTAAACTATAATAAAGATCACGAAGGCCATAAATTGGTATTGTATTATTATTTTATATTATTATTAATTATAGAAATAAAAATTTTAACCATAATTTGCTATTCTTAATTGTATTATAAAACTAATGTACTTGTTAATTAACTTAAATGTATTTTTTTTTATCTGAATACATTTTATATATTTTTGAGATTACTCTAATTGTGTGAATGTCAATCTTTAAAATAATTTATCTACATAAACTGATGTTATAACAAGTATTTAGTTATAATTCCTTGATCCTATCCAATAACCAAGTGTGTATATTTTCAGATAATTTAATAATTTCTAACATCCGGATAACCATCACATTTTAATTTAGGATCTATTCAATTGACTATTAACATGTATCCTCACAGTTAAAATAAAATATGAGCCTTTAAAATTAAAAAATAACTTTAATTTTAAATATGGGGTTTTCCGGGCTACTAATTGTATACTCCTCAGGTTAAACACATTAAAAATATCTTACTCTTTAAATTTATTGTTATAAATTAAAATTAATTATTTAGCTATTACCTATTAAATACTATCTATTGAGATCAAAATATGTTTTATCTGGATCTATTGGTGAATAATATTAACATTCCATTATTCATAATTTATGTTGCATATGTTCAGGAAAAAACTACAATATTGCTATTTATTGTTAAGTTATATGAATTACAAAACCATTTAATTTGTATTTTAAATTAAAATTGTTGAGTTGAAATAGTACTATTTTAAATTTAATAAACTAAATATTTTTTTTCTACTAACACAAATTTATCCTCAACAACCTAGGCCATTGGGTTACATTTGGTTATTATTTACATCAACAAATTTATTATTTTATAAAAATTGTACCTAAAATATTTATTTTATTTTATGAATATTACAAATATTATTTAGTTATACTTATTTATGAATAAATTTGATTTTTGGTTTTAATGTAAACTTTTTGATTCACATCCTCCTCTTATCCCAATTAACTAACAATGAGATACTTGTATACTTCCATTATCTCTATATTATTATACGGTATATGTCATATGAATAATATTTGCGTGAAAAGAATGTCTTGAATGTTATACAAAACAATACAATTAACAATTTTAAATTATTGAAACCATAGTTAACACTTATAAACAATAATTTTTGAATAACAATCAAGCTCCATAAATCGACTGCGAGGAATTACCTACCACGTATTTATTTTATTGGCATATTATGCAGTGTAATTATGAGCTGTACGACTGTCGGCTTTGCTAACAACTAACCTTTTATCTCACATGTAAGTATTAATTTATAAATATAAAAATCAATAACAATTTTTGAGGTTTTATACACATTTTCAGCCAAAATCATTTATTATACGAGTTAATAACAAATAAAATTAAAAATAATCATATTTGTTTTAAATTATTATTTTATTGGTAATTGATAGGATATAACAAGTAGCAACTTCAAAAATTCTAATAATTGTTTAATAAATAAATAATAATCATATAAAAAAGTATTTAACACAAATTAAAATATATTGCACATAATAATAAATATGATTAAAACATAAAAACATTAGGTAATTTTATTAATTAATAAATAAAAGTATCAACCAAAAAAAAATATATRTACATAAATAGTATTGTGTTGAAACTTATAGAGTTATTTATAATTTTCGAGATCCACCTCTACTTTTAATCACTCCAAATGTGGCCAATTTAACTTCATTTAAGAAGCTGGAGGAATTGTGTACCGTACTACCGCCCAATATAATTCTAACCTGTGGATTTGCTATGTTCAGATTGTGTATTGCCATTGATTCTTCATATGTAACACCCCCAATTACAAAAACAATTATATCTTGCACCCTACCAAATAAAAATAATAAAATTACATGACTGAACAAAATTGTTTTTGTTAAATAGCAATTATACTTTGTATAAAAAGATAATTGTTGTCAACCAGTGCCGTAGCTAGAAATAGATGGGCCCCAGTGCAAATTTAATCTGTGGCCCCTTTAAAGGCGCACATTGGGTGTGAATGTAAGGGATGCTGATATAATTTATGGTACACAGATTCGTGGGAGGCTTCGCCCCCCACAGACCACAACCCCACTAATAATATCATAAACTGCATTGCAGTAATTTTAAATTTATACTTATTTAATATTCTGACTTTGTAATTATAATACAAATAAAATTAATTAAAATTTTAATCAATTTTTAATTGTATAGACAAATTAATAAGTTGAAATTGTATAAATGTAAATGTAATCGCTACTCTTTATTTATTTAAGCTATTAAGCAACTATACTGTACATAATATATTATGTATTCAAAACATTTAAAAATTATTATATTATTAGGTGCATGTTATTATACAGGAACTGGGAGTGCTAATTTGAAGCCTGACGGTGCTATATTATACTAAAATAACAAAGTGCTAACAGCATTATCATTATATTATGATCTTATTAAAAAAATTGTTATTAGTATAGATTCTTAATTCTTATATTATTTTATTTAAGTATGGGCCTCATATTAGAAATGGAATGCGGGGCCCCGGTGCAATGAACTGCCCGCACCACGGTTTCTACGGCACTATTGTCATCCAAAATTTACAACAACTATTTAGTTAAAAATATTATACTACAATAGTTAAAGCTATCAATTGTCATGACAAATTAAAATTATACTCATACTTTTTTGTTGGTTGATTTATATCACTTAAGAATGGATATTGTTCTTCTTTTAATCTTGATTTTATCAAATCTTCAACTAATTCCTTCATCAATGGAACATGTTGAGTAAATATATTGTCAACACCCTTCAAGTCCTAAAATACAATTAAAAATAAGATTTTCTCCTAATTCATGGGAMAAATATATTTATTAATAGATATTACTTTGATTTTTAAAAAGTGAGTAAACCTTATTCAAATACACTATTTATAAAAAAGAATCAAACTGTATGTTTTTTTTACATAAATTATTATAAGTAATAAAATATTTTACCTTATAAAATCGTTTTGTTATTTGTTTTGCATTTTTTAATGTATTTTCACTATCTAATATTATTTTACTCTGGAATTTCATAACATCATGTACAAGCTGAAATTATTAAAATAATTATACAAAAAAATCAATTTAAATTTTACCAATATAAAAATACCTCTATCCAATGTTCGGCAACTTTTTTTGATTTCAATATTTGTATTAAACTAGTTAATTCTCTATTACTATCCTTGCTGAATGATTTTAAAGCATATAGCATAACAAGTTTACTCGCTTCCTCATCTGGTATATTTTTTTCAATTAGCTCTCTAATTTTCTATAATAAAATAAATGCTTACTACAATAATATATTTAATTAATGAAAATATAAAAATTATACTAAAATAATAATGTTAAGTATGAAATTGTTAATTACATGATTTTAGTGGACATTTTAAAATCATTATATTTTAATAAAGTAAACCTTGAAAGAAGTATTTAATTAATGTAATCAAAAAGTAGGTGGCAAATATATAATACATATATATTATTTATAAGTTGTATAATAGTGAAACCAGTCATAACAAATATAATAATAAGGTCCTGGATTAAAGGAACTTTTGATAGTTCCTTATAGGCGATTCATGGACACTTCCCCGTCTGCCATTTCCCCGTAACCACTTCCTCGTAAGATATTTTCCCGTCCAATACGTTTCCCCGAACGACATATCCCCGTCTATTATAAGTAATAAAAAAACAAAAAATTACCATAAAATATTTTAATGTTGTAGTTCTAAATTATGAGCGATTCCAATTATTAAGTACTCATTTAGATCACGTTCATCATATGTAGACACAATATTTTCTATACGTCTACATTTCTTTATTTTATTGTTATATGTTTTCGACTAATATTTTTTGTTATCGGTGTAAAATCCAAATGATTCATCGATAAACTAATATAAATAAACTAAATTT